GGCCCGGCCGGGCCCGCCCCGCCCCCCTAACGCGACGCGTCTCTTTTCCAGCCAAGTCCTGATCCGGAGCAGAGTCCTTCGGGAAAATGGGAAATACATCCCGAAACAGGTACGGAGCTGCATGCTAAAATGAAGTCTGCGTCCAAACCATCGTGTTTAGTACCTGACAACAAATAGACGGGGATTTAGAAAGAGCTTGGGGTAATGAGCTGCTGGGTTGGGATAATGTCAGCTGTGGTGTGTGCCGAACTAAAAACTAGTCGCCCCTATTGGCTCGGTTGCTGCTAAATATGTATATTGTAAGATCCAGAAGTCAGCTGGGGGGAATGAAAATGTCCAATGTACCAGTATTGGTACTGAACCAGCAAGAACTTTGCACAGGGCGCTAAAAGCTCTTCAATCGACGTAGATTCTTCTTCGGAGAATTCTTAGAATTTCAAGAATTTTAGAAAGCCAGAGAGTTGGTGCTCAGGATCCAGGGAAACAGAAGAGCAAGGAGCTTTAGAGCATATGGGCAGTGAAGTACCTCTCCAAGAAGGATGCGTTATGAAAGAGCTCATAAGATGTCTACATGTCTGAGCAAGAAATAACCTTCCTGTCCTTTCATTTCTTATGGTGTTGGTATTGGCTCTTCTTGTTTTCAGTCTTTCCTGACCCGGAAATATTTTTTTAATAACCCAGAGGATGGATTTTTTAAGAAAACGAAAAGAAAGGTAGTGCCTCCTTCACCAATGACAGGTAAGTTAAGGTGCCATAAATATAGCCAGGCAGAAAAACTGTAAGTTTCTGCAAAGGTAGGAAGGTGAATCGACATCACAAAGCACTCAGTGAATGTGAGGGAGGGGGTGGGTGGGAATGTGCAGCTGGGTATTGGGGAGGAGGGAGGGTGAGATCCCTCTCTTTGCTAGCAACGTGTTGGGTCACTTCGTTTTGCTTAACTTCAGCCTCCCGCTGCCTGCAGCGTCTCACGAGACCACGACCACCTCAGTGCTGCCAGAAACGGGACATCCTGCTCTCACTCGGGTCCTTTTGTCAGTTTTTTGCACCAGCTCCTGCAGGACCTTCTCTAAACTGATGTAACTTACTAACGTGGCCAAAGATCTCAGCAGCAAATTAGCTGGATAGTTCGTTGTCCCTTTTCTAGCTAAATCAGCTCGCAGAGGGCTCAAGCAAGTTCAGCGATCTGGAGCAGGGGATGGGGTCAGACACAGCGGAGAACACAACACCCCTTCAGCAGCAGCCACCACCACACTGGCTGCTCATCTCGTTTTGCAAAGTGTTTTACAACAGTGGAAAATAACAGATATGGGATAGATAGTGGGAGAGGACAGTTATCTCTTAGGAAGTTCCTTAATTAAAATAGCTGACATTGGTGAAGTAATGTCTTGTTTCCCTTTATTGTGATACACTGCTCTACATCTCATCTATGATTTGCAGATCCTACCATGTTGACAGATATGATGAAAGGGAATGTTACCAATGTTCTGCCTATGATCCTCATCGGCGGTTGGATCAACATGACATTTTCGGGATTTGTCACAAGTAGGTGGAATAACACAGCACGTGGGTCTGGCCAGTTTTCTCTTGGATCACGTCAAGGGTATGGGCTGCATCAGAGATTTGCTCCTCTACCTAAAAGCATGAATTTGGCTTGTAGCACTGCCACTATTAACTCCATGACTGGACTGATTTGCTTGCCCCATAGCAAAGGAGTGAAAATTGTCTTCGGAGTACCAGCCATGGTCACAAAGAAAATAGCTCATGCATTTGGGAATAATTGTAGTGGCAAAGCTAATATTTGAATTTATTAAGGCTGGCTACACTTCATGTAGATACAGTGGATTTTCCTCTGAACCTGTCCAGGGAGTTGGTTACTGTGTAATGCAGGGTGTAAACATCAAAAATACTTCCTTAAATTCACAGTTCTGTTTTTTTCCTTACTGTTTATGTGATAACTGCTTCCTTAACGAAATACATTCCCCTTCAGAGTCACTGAAACAACGGCTGTGAGGGTTTGGTCATGCAATTAAGTTTAAAAAAAGTCTTTTCGTATTAAAATAAATACAGAAGTACAGCTTTTTCAAGAGCACGTGTTAACTTGTTATTGCATGCATTGCATTCAGACTACGTTAGGTTTAATAAAAGAACTACCTACTCACTTTGCCGTTTGCGTTGCGGTTACGTAGTGTGACTTGGTGAAACGGGGCTTTTTTTATTTGTCCTGCAGCAAAGGTCCCGTTTCCTCTGACGCTGCGTTTTAAACCAATGCTGCAGCAGGGAATTGAACTGCTCACTTTAGATGCGTCCTGGTAAGCCTGTGTCCTCAGCAAGCAAGGCTGAATATTCACTTGGAAAATTCTGAGTGTGTTAATAACCCTTGAATGGTCATTGCTTCTGAAATGAGATCACAAGCCAGCTTTGAACTGAAATCAACCATGCTTGTTCTGATTTATCAGGGTGAGCTCTGCTTCCTGGTACTTCTTGAATGTGTTTGGACTCAGAAGCATTTATACTCTCATCTTGGGCCAAGATAATGGTAAGACACTTGTCATTTCTGTGAAAAAGCCAGCTTCTCCTTCCATGGGATGAATTCTGAGGGAGGCTGGGGAAGGATTTCTACATCTCCAGCCAAAAAGCTCTCAAAAGCCTCTCTCACTTCTGTGAGATTACTCTTGCTGGCCAGGTTGGACCTGCAGCAAGTACCCTAATCGTCTGCACCAGCCCCTGGCTAACTGCTTGTTAACTTCCATGGTAATTAACCCATGCTTTCCTTACCATCAAATTAGTGTGCAGGAATTTTGCTCTCAGGCTTGCTTTTCTTCCTAGCAAGTACCAGTTTTAAGGAAAGCGGCAAAGATGACTTAATGCTAGATGCAGGACAGGACAGATAGTGTTTCTGGGGGTATTAGGAATGTAGAAGACCAATTTTTTGTGAATTTGTCTGCATATTTTATGTAAATTTAGCTAAGATATAGGGGGTGGGAACAAGATGTCTTGTGAGAACTCTTTCTGGCACCTTAGTATTGCGTTCTGGGTGTTTCTGCAACTTTCCAGTCTCTAGCTAAAAGGCAGCCGGGGGGCACTGTGCTTCAAGAAATGCTGTTCGGTGACAAAAATCCACCTCTCATTTCTCTTTTGTAGCTGCAGATCAGTCTAGGGTGATGCAAGAACAAATGACAGGGGCAGCAATGGCTATGCCAGCAGATACTAACAAAGCATTTAAGGTACAGTATTCTCACCTGCATTCCCGTTTGCTGTGAACTTACAGGATTGTAGGCTATATGTAACTCAGCCTCTCCCTGCATCAAGTAAGGGAATTGCTCTGGATTCCTGTTCCTAAAATTAGAGCTGACAACTGATGAAGGGTGTGGAAGTTGCCCTGGGTCTGGCAGAGCTCTAATACCCCTGATTAGTTACTCATTCTTGATACAAAAGCTGAATTCACGTGCCTCCTTCTGCTTTTGCAGAGGAAGATTTTTTTTTCCTCAAAAGAGATCTAGTTCCAAGCAGAAGCTGGCTCCCAAAAAGTAGTGTTAGTAGTGCAGCTGAGCAGAGTCCAGCAGGCAGATGGTGGAACTTGGGTAACAAAATCACATAAGCAAGTTTGCTCAGCGGAGAATCTGTCAGGATTTGACTGGGTCTTGAAGTTCTCCTAAGCAGTCTCTGTAGGCACTTGCTTATTAGACTGCCTCTACCTTTCACAACCCTAGTTTATACATGAAGGGAAGGTCCTGGTTCTGGTTTTATGTACTATAGGAGAGGTCTACCCCCACACCACCCTCCCTGGGAAGTCAGGCTGGTCTGCTCCTGCAGTTCGTTGTATTCAGTAGCCTTCCTGGTTAAAAAACTCCACATCACCCAGCCAGAGGCTCAGCCAGGGAAGAGGGTGGCTGCAGTCTGCAGCTCTGCTGGAGCAGTGTCTGCTCTATCACAAACTGTCAGCACTGAGGTGCAATTCCAGCCAGAACTGTGCACTCTCCTGGCTCACGTCCCTCCTCTTCCTTTCCGGGACTGTCTCTCAGAGCAGTTTTGCCACTCAGCCCTGTAGGGGCCTAAACCTGCTACGTGGTCCCCAGCAGGAACAAAGGAAACAAGCCCCTATTGCAGAACTGTGTTCTGGCCAAGAAATACAAATCTCTTGCTGGGCATCACATGACGTGATTTTGCAGTCTGTGTGCAGCTCATTCCACACTGCTTACTGGAGCAACACTTACTGGACTAAGAGGAGGTGAGACTGGTGTTCATAGGTGGTAGAAAAGGAGTAGTGGAGGAGATTGTTCTCATATTTAGAATGAAATTCTGTTCTTAGGCTGCTATGAACACCTGCGTTAATGAATTAAAAAACTCTGCAGCTCCGCGGTGCTTGTTGGTGGGAGAACAGTCTAACAAGGCACACCAAGTCTGTGATCAGTTGCAATATTTTTGGCCTGTAACTGTTTTTATCAAATATTCCCTGAACTAAAGAATTAACTAACCACAAAGCACTTGACACTCTCCCCCAAATGGACTTGGCTCTGTTTCTAGAGACAGCTGTTTTAGAAGAAAGGGACTATTCTAGAAGGTTTAGAGGATTTTCAAGAAGCAGTTAATGTGCTTTTTCTAATTTCTGTGATGTACTTGTATTGACCAACTACCCAATTAAGTATAAAACACTGATTTCAGGGAGTTGACAGGATTGCCAGGTTTTTAACAGAACTTGCTCCTTGTTGCAGTTTTTAAAGTAAGCACTGCTTTGCATAGTTCTTCTCTAACTACTTTAATACTGTGTTGCTTTCCTTCCTCCACCTGTTTGTTATCAATGCAGACGGAATGGGAAGCTTTAGAATTGACTGATCATCAATGGGCCTTAGAAGACGTAGAAGAGGAGCTCATGGCAAAAGACCTCCATTTTGAAGGCATGTTTAAGGAAGAACTTCAGACCTCCATCTTCTGAATTTGAGAACATGCTTTTGTCCTTTCTTGTAAAAGTAATTTGAAAAGAAATCTGTTACTTAAAACTATATAATGTCTTTTAACAAAGCTGAAAATAAAAGAAAACCACCACGTTCAGAACTGCAGTGACCTAACTTTGATTTGAGCCCCAAGGACTGAGTATGTTGTATTTGAGCCAAAGGCGCTCAGTATGGGTTTCTAGCTGGAGTTCTCTTTCTCTTCCTGGGAAATACACGCTAGAGAAAAAGACCTAAAAGTTCTAGTTTTAGTACGCAAAGAGACAGCTTGCTTGAGTTAAGGAACTTAGAACTTCCTAAGACTGAAAAAGTACAAGTAGTGTCTATGTTTCTGGTTTTATCCTTTTAAACAAATGCATAGCTAGTTATCCTTTGCTATTGAACAATTAAGACAACATCACCATGTTAGCAATTTGAAACTGACCTAGCAACGAAGTATCTAAGACATCTTCAGAAGTGGCATGAGGATTCAATTTCTGAAAGCAGTGCTTGTCCTTCCCCTTTATACTCCCTTTCCTGTTACAGTAATTGGGGTTTGAAGCTTTCTCAGAAGAAAACAAAAGCAGGAGGGAGATACTCGCCACCTGCCCACAGCAAAGCAGAGGACCTCTTGCATTCCTCTCATATCCAAGCCTGCACCAGGGCTGCCCAGTGCTGCAAAATCCCATCTGCTTTCTTCTCCCCTGGTCAACCTGCTGGTGGACACGCTGGTGGTCACAGGGGCAACTTCTGGCCCCCTCTTTGCTGCTTTCGTTCCTGGGCAGAGCAGCTCCTCAGAGGTCTTTGGCAGCAGAGAGCCAGAGATGGCATTTCTATGCAGAGGCAGCAAAACACACAGGACTACTCCCCTGTTAACGGAGTCCTCCCCAAGTCCATTTACAAGCACCTCAGGCTGCCTACAGAGCCCCTCCTGCCTGCCGCGCTCGCAGCAGGCTGTCCACCTAGCAAGGGGCCCTGGCTGTTCCCCGTAGTCCCCATTCAGTTATTTACTGTGCCAGGTGGGGAAAATAAATACCTGTTTTGTTTAAGCCTCCTGCCTGATCATCTTCTTGCACTGTAGAGAACAGGGAGCAACTGTTCCTGGCTTGTCCTTCTGCAGGAGCTCCTCAGATCTCTATTACCCAAGGAGAAGAGTCCTAACCTGGGGAAATGCATCTTAAACAGATGCTCTTCCATACTCTGCAGCTGTTATTTTCTTCCCCTCTGTATTCTGAGCCCCTTTTTTGGGGGGAAATTGCTCACCCTCTTCAAAGCAGGAGCTGAGCCAGGGCTGAAACAGCCCATTTTCTGTTCTCACCAAAATCATCTCCCCTCTGAACAGGAGCCTCAGCTCAGAGATGGTCTTTTCTGTCTCAGAGACCTCTTTCCTGAATGCTAAGAACAGTGCTTCGCTGATAACACAACTTGTGTTATTTTTCCCTCCCTTTTGCAATGTGGAATTTAATTTTGCTTCATGCCCTTGGCGTTCTTGTATGAGCCTTTCTGCGAGCTGACGCACAATACCCAAACACCTCTGCATCTGAAAGCTGCCACTTTGCTTTCCCTTCTGCCCGTGACGGGTTTCACACTACGCTTTGGAGGTCAGCATTTCATAGCTAAGCTCACCATCTGCTGTTCCTCATTAAGGCTCTTCTAACCCTCTCTGAGGCTCCAGCGAAGATCAAGCTCCTCTGCTATTACACTGTAATCAGGACATGAAGGCTTCAAACATCCTTACTGGGGCTTCACAGTCCGCCTCGACCTGCAAGACTTTGGCAATCCCCCGGTTTCCCTGCACGCACACAAGCCTGTTGGATTTCATTTCCTCAGTCTTTTCCAGCCTACTCTCATATACGTGTTCGGGTTGCCTTGAGGAGGAAATTGCAGCAACTGCGGGACCACCATTTCAGTGGTACAGCCACAAGCAGCCCTGATGCCCCTGAAGAAAATGGACAGAAAGAAGGCCAGGATCCCCCGCGATCTGCAGAGGAAAAGGAACGATGAGGAAGCTGTAGCTGCGGCTGCCCAGTGCCACAGAAAGGCAAGGACGGGCTTTGCTACAGCACCAGATAGCAGCAACCCAGCACCACAGGCGAGAAAAGGCAACTCCAGAGCAAGCACGAACTCTGAGATGGACAGAGCAGCGCAGGCAGCAGCTGCTTTTCTCCCAAATCCCCACTGGCAGAGCAGGGAGGGTTGGCTCTGCGGGACTCGCCCTCCCCCAGCTGAAAGAGCTCCTGGAGCACCAGGCATCCCCACAAACAGCAGTCTCAGGTCACATAAAGCTAAAAATACAACAAAACCCAGTTTCAGTGCAAACCACTCTTTAATTTTCCTCTTTGTACAATAGAGCCAGCCACTTACAAAGTGCTAGTCTAAAAAACAGGTCTGGTATTACAGCACGCACACACCAGCCAAAGCTGACCAGCTCAGAGGCAGAGAAAGTAAGAGCTGGGCCACTTTTTCTGCAGTACAACAGTCTGTTCAGCATCTGAGCCCCACTGATGCGCTTCTCAGTGTCAGCATAGGTAGGGAGGCGAGGAGGAGAACAAAGGCTATTGCAGATTGATTTTTCTTTTAAAAGGACTTTTACTCCCCTCCCTTTCCTCTCTTCCCCATTTTGGAATGCCCGTATGATTTTCTTTCAGGGTAAAACAAACAAAAAAATGCTGATCAGAGTAATTCAGTGCAGTGCTACAGCTTAAAAACTGCCTTTTGGATGCTCCCGTAACAAGGAAAAAAAACAAACAAACAACAAAAACAACACAAATACAGTATTAAGAGCTGCTAAAATCCCAAACCACCCCAAAACCAGAACAGCAGAAGCAATTAAGCAATTCTGATCTCAGATCAAATTTCAATGCTTTAAAAGCAAAACTCTGCAGAAGAGGATCACAACATTAGTGTCCCAGCTAGAGGCAGCCCTCCCTCCTCCTCTCGCCTTCCAGCGCCCTGGCTAAGGGGCAGCATGGTGCTGCCCTCCCTTCCCATCACTCAGAGCAGAAGACAGCGAGTAGCTGGCTGGGCTTTTGCTTGGCTGCAGCACAGCAGAGGCTCAGGGACGGGCACCCAACCATTTCCTACGGGGCTGGATGCCGGGAGCTGCGGCAAGGGAGCTGAGCTGACATATTTGCGGTTAAATGGATGACTGCTGTTAGACTGACCGTCAGAGGAGGTCATGGCCAGCAACGAAGCCACAGGGACTGCACAGAGGACAGTGGCTG